TTTGACTGAGAGGCATTTCAGACATTTCATTCACATTTCATATTTGTAATTTGAGACCGGGTCCTCTAAAGCTATTTTCTAAATTAAGAGTCTCAAATTACAATTTCACATGTTAGGAGGTCTTTATTTATAATTTTCCCAAGACGCTATGATTAAATATTTCTACTGCCTAGCAAATAAATAAAGATAAAACCAAGACTTCAGTCATGACCCGTGAACATAGAATATTATGACGATTCTCCGATATTATTCAATTATTCTTAAGCGGGTAGCATATAAATATCCTTACAACAAAATGAATTAGGGTCTTATATTTAAAATAAAAATAAAAATTAAAAGAGCTTTTATATTAAAGACCAAAGGTAGTATAATTAAATGGTTAAAGAATACTTTTGGTCTTTTAACTTTACATAAAGTTTCATTTTGGTCCCTTAACTTTAAAAAGTAAACTTTTAGTCCTTTAACCCTAAAATCATTAACAAAAAAATGATGATATTAAGCTCTTGAATGTTAATAAAATATTACTAAATGCTATAATATTAAGTTTAATTTTCAAAACAACCAAAATTGTTACAAAAAATATCATTTAAGACAACAATTTTAGGGTTAAAGGACTAAAAGTATACTTTTTAAAGTTAAGTGACCAAATTAAAACCTTACATAAAGTTAAAGGACCAAATATATACTTTAGCCTAATTAAATAAAAAGTTGCTGCGGCCGTTGAAAACAAATGATTTTTTTCTCTATGAAGGAATACTGCAGGTTTTAGATTAAGAATTTCCAACTGTATTTATCCTAATGAATGCCCCAATTGCTACGCCATAATCTGGAGAAAAAAGAAAATCATGCTCCTTCCTGTTCCTGATGGAAGAGCTAATTAGATATTAAATTTGGCTAAAAATATAAAATCATATATCATTCACTTTATTTATCATAACTGTCATTTTTTAAGTTAATTTATCTAACTTATAAATTGATATATAATCTAATATTATACCTAGATATTTTAGGAAGATCATATCGTATTTATTATAAATAACTAATTTATCTAAGTTAATCCAAACGAGTAATGTTTATTAGAGATATGGTTATTGTCAGTGTAATCCACTAAGCTTGTGGAATGTGAAGGAGGTATCAAGTTCGCAAATTTCTTTTTCTATTCTATCGAGAAATGAAATGAAAATGATAATTCTTCAGATAAGAAATGTGAAACTAGCTTTTGAATTTGTATGATTTCGAGAATTCACATTCTTGGTTCAGTCTTCTTATTTTATTTTAGAGAAAAATAATCATTGGATACCCAAAGTTTTAATTCTTAAATTTTGACTGGATGCACTCAATTCTAACCATTTAAAAGTTTAGCCTTTAAGTTTCATAAAATAAAAAATATATTTAAATGGTTAAACTTATAGAAATTAAGTTGTATTGAGTTAAAGTTCAGAAACTGAATTAAAACTAAGTCAAAATTATAGGAATTGAATTAAAGTGTAGAGATTGAGTTGTAACTTAGCCAAAAATATAAAAATTAAAATCTAATTTTCTCTTTATTTTGTCATATCAAGATTCGAATACTTAACATTTTCATATATTGATATCACTTACTCTTGTCTTTTATTTTGGCCGACACTTACTCGTGATGAGTGTGTGGTTAGAATAAACGTTGTTATTAACTTCATCGGCCCTGTGAGGATTGAGGAAAGTTAAGTGAGATTTAGAGACAAGGTTACTGTTTGTGCAACCCACCAAGGTTGGGGAATGTGAAGGAGGTATAAGTCTGCATATTTTATTTAGGAAAAATCCCATATAAAACCTTATTTAATTCTAAAATTTCAAATAAGTCATTTTAATTTGCCATTTGAATATACGTAATGTAACTTTTGTCTTATGCCTGCTAGTTTTTGATAAATAATATCATTTTAGTACCTAATTTCATTGCATATATAGTAAATTATGAAAGTTATTGTTTATTATTATTTTTACGATATTCTTCAAGTGTACTAGTATGCTAATTTGCCAACACATTTTGGCCCTTGTTTAATTGCTCTAAGACTTTGTGAAAATTGACCATGTAAATAGTAATAGTCAAATGCCTAAGAATGAGTTGCAAAAAACGTTATTGAAATAGTTATTTACATTATGCAAGTTGTCATTTTTGTTACATGTTTTGTAAAATGCTATGCAAATGACTAAGAATAGGTTGCAAAAACCATGATGCCTTTGGTAACATTTATTACACTAATTGTTACTCCTCCTGTTACATAGTTAGTAAAATTGTTTGCAAATAAATTAAAATTGGATTGCAAATAAACATTTTGCAAATCTCCCGATAGAAATGATAACTTGCATTGCACAAGTTGTCATTTCTATTACTCGTATTGTAAAATACTATGCAAATTATTTAAAATATGTTGCAAAAATCATTATGCAACTAGTATAACTTTTATTACACACATGTTGTTATTCCAGTTACATATTTAATAAAATTACTTTTAAATGAATTATAAAGGGATTACAAATAAATAAGTTGCAAATTCCCAAATGAAAATAATCACTTGCATTATGCAAGTTGTTATTTTTGTTACTTGTTTTGTAAAATAAACTGATGAGGATTTAATTTGGAGTTTCTGAACTTGAAACCGGGAACAAAAATATTACAAGACGTGGGGGGAGAGAAATGGTTAATTTTTGGTTGAATACGATGAGGAGATTGAAAGCTTAAAGATTTTTATTGGAGGAAGCTTATTGTTGTGGTTAATTATAGTTTATTTCACAAGTTCTGGGGATGAGCTATGGATTGATTAGTTAAGAATAAAAGTGAAGCTAAAACAGGACATGTAAACATGAAAGGATGAAAACTAGCTATGCTACTTATTCCTAGCTTGCTAGCAATTTTATTTTAAAAAAAAACAAGAAGAAGAAAGGGAGTATTATAATGAAGACATAAATTCACAAACTTATTGTACTGTAGCCAAATACCTGTTGATTTCAATGATGACTGGTGGGAAAGAAGATATCAATAAGAAGAGTAGGGAGGATAGAAAAGTATGCGAAGACTATAATTGATTTTGATGGTTCTGAAGCGTCCAGTTACGTAATTGGAATACATCTGGCCCAAGAAAAATTTGGTCTTGAAGTGAAAACAACGACAAGCGTGTTCATAAAAACCACGGAACACTCACAAATAAGCCCACCCATCTAGAGTCTAATGTAATGGCCCAATTAAGAAAAAGACAACAGATCAGCATCGATCTCAAGAACCAGCCGCGTGGCTGTGACTTGACCACTTGAGAGAGAGCAACCTCTGATCAGTATCACTACAAGAACCAAACGAGAGTCCTAGCCTAACCCCAAGTTAGCTCTAAACTAATCCTCTTTCTCATAGAAGCACCATGGTGGTGAAGGTCTATGGCCCTATCTGTGCTGCCACAAAAAGAGTGCTCCTTGTTCTGATTGAGAAGGGCATTGAGTTTGAAACTGTCCATGTTGATGTCACTAAAGGCGAACAGAGAAATCCTGAATACCTCAAATTACAGGTTCAGCTCTCTTCTTCTTCCAAATTTTTTCCTCCCTTGGCTTCTGTAATCCATAATTTAGTGAAAGATTGATTTCTGAAACTTTATCTGAGTTCTGATTTGTACTCATTTGTTCATGTTGAGCAGCCCTTTGGAGTTGTTCCTCTGATTCAAGATGGCGACTATACCTTATATGGTTAGCCTAGCCTCTTCCATGTTCTTAGCTCTTTCCCAACATGATTTTTCTATTCGTAATGCTCGATTAGTTTGTTCTGTAAGTCTTTAATCACGTCAATTTCTGCATACTAATAGTGTCTATCTTTCTGGTTCAATCCTCGATGCATCTGCAGAATCCAGAGCAATAATGAGATATTATGCAGAAAAATACAAGTCTCAAGGAGTTGACTTGCTGGGGAAGACGATGGAAGAGAGGGGTCTAGTGGAACAATGGCTAGAAGTTGAAGCACAGAACTTTCACCCATTTGCTTACAACCTAGTGATTCATATACTGTGTCCTTCAATATTTGGGGTCATACCAGATCCAAAGGTGATTGAAGAGAGCGAAGCTAAGCTTGAGAAGGTTCTTGACATTTATGAGGAGAGGCTCTCAAAGAGCAAGTATTTAGCTGGTGATTTCTTCAGCCTCGCTGATATGAGCCATCTTCCCTTCACTGATTATCTGGTGAACAATATGGGGAAGGAGCATCTGATAAAAAAGAGGAAGCATGTAAGTGGTTGGTGGGATGATATCAGTAACAGAGCTTCATGGAAGAAGGTTCTGGAGCATTACAGAGCTCCCATATAAGATCAACAAATTACTTGAAATAGTGAAATGATTGTGTGGTTAGAATAAATCTGTGTTATTAACTTCATCAGTCCTGTGAGGATTGAAGGAAAGCTATGTGAGATTTATAGGTGTGGTTATTGTCTGTGTAACCCGCTAAGCTTGTAGAATGTGAAGGAGGTATCAGGTCTGCAAATTTCATTTTTCTATTCTGGGTTTGGGGTTGTGATCTAATAATGAAATAAAAATTCTTATTCTTCTTATTAGAAATGTGAAACTAGCTTTTGAATTTGTGACGTTGAGAATTGACATATTTGGTTCAGTCTTCTTATTTTATTTTAGACAAAAATAATATTTGTATCTCTATAGTTTTGACTCAATTGTAATTTAATGTCTAAACTTCAACTCGGTGTAACTCAATTCTTAAATTTTAACTCAGTTGTAGCTTAGCTTTTGAATTTTGACTCTATGCATCTCAATCCAAATAGTCTTAACCATTAAAAAGTTTGACTTGAGTTTCATAAAATATATTTTTTTTTCAAAAAAACATATATTTAAATGGTTAAAATTATAAAGATTAAGTTGTATTGAGTTAAAGTTGAAGAACGACATCAAGGAAATGTGGAAATCCATCATCAAGCCTCCCTTACATAACTACTTCTCGGCGCGCCTTAAGGAATGGGTTGAGTTAAACATGAAACGCAATGTGTGTCAGACTTAAGGGGCCTGGAAAGAGTTATTCATCATTATATGCTGGCTCATTTGGTGTGACAGGCATGATCGGATCCATAATAATTCTTGCCAGGAGATATCCAACCTTGTTGCTAGAGCCACGGCTATTTTGGGCAGTATGACAAGGGCACAGTCTATAATGCTGCCTGCGCAGGAGTCCTTAAAAAGAGTAGTGGGAGCATCATTGAAGGATTTCAATCTAAACTTCCTAGGGGAGATGCTCTCTCTGCAGAAATATGGGGCTGTCTTTTAGGCCTCAAAAGAGCTTGGGATTGTGGCCTTAGAAATGTTAGACTGAGTAGCGACTCCCAGGAAGCTTTAGGCCTCTTTCTAACTGAACCCTCGGACCTTCATGAAGATTTGAACCTGATTTTAGAAGTCAGAGATATGCTGCAGAGGGATTGGAAGGTCGATCTGCATTATTTCCCAAGAGAAGAGAATAATACAGCTGACATCTTGCGTGCTTTGGCAATGAGTGTGGCCATGCAAATTCTTAGTCCTGGAGCAGTCATGCGTTATGTACAAGAAGACACCGGAGGCTAGCCTCTTTAGTTTGCTCTCTTGTATTTTGTTATATTCGTTTTCCAGTATATCCAAAAAAAAAAAAAGGCTAAAGAACTATAGGAATTAAATTCTTCTGGGTTAAGGTTAACTGAATAAAAAATATAGGGATTAGAAGAATAATTTTTCTTTTGTTTTATCATATCAAGATTCGAATCTTAAAATTTTCATATATTGATGTCACTTACTCGTGTCTTTTTCTTCTCAAGTAAGATATTTTATTTTTGGTCCAAAAAATAATACGTTTTTATATATTTTTGGGTCAATTTGAGTTGGTGGGAGCTCTGGGTGGGTAGGAGGTAAGCTATTTCGATTTTTCCACTGTGATTTTAAAATATAATATTATTCCAATCGTGGTGGCCTCCTTTTTTGAAAATTTTCCTTTTCTGTTTGTTTAATCCTCCGTGTTTTGTTTTCCAAATCATCAACACATTATTGGTGGAAAATAAACATAATTGATGCCATTGTCCCAGCAATATTTCACTATTTTACTAGAATGTCACTTTTAGGACTAAAGAAACCATGATTAAATATTTCTATTGCCCAGCAAATAAATAAAGATAAAACCAAGACTTCAATCATGACTCGTGGCCCCAAGGTCAAAAAAAAAAAAAAAATCATGACTCGTGAACATAGAATGTTATGATGATTCTTGGATATTATTCAAGTATTCTTAAGCGGGCCCCATATATAAATAATTTAACTATATATATAAAGAAGGGAAAATCACAAAAACAGACTGCTAAAATGAAAAATGTTACAAATTAGGACTCATTATAATATTAGTATGGGTTTTAATAATAATAGTATGGGTTTTGATAACAATTTTTATGAACAGATCCTTGTATGCAATTTTTTAATTTTAGCAGTCTTCTTTTTGTAAGTTTCCTTATAAAGAATCTCTTAACTATTTGTATTATTGTCCTTTAAACACTGCTATGATTAAGTAAAAAAGAAAAGAATTCTGGGACCTCGTAATGTTTTATTGCATTAACGAATCTGTGTCCCCTATATTTTGGGACAACAAATTCTGGATTTAAAACAAAATAAGTGATGAAAATTTATGATTGTAATTTTCGACAGTTGAGTTAGCAGCTTAGGTGAGAAAAATGTGTATAAACATTAAATGTAAATAAATAGGATAAGAAAGGCACATATTATTTGAAGGAAAATAAGGGGTAGATGGGGGGGAAAAACAACATAGTTTTAGAAGAAATATAATTCAATAAAATGTTGATGGCCGTTGAAAACAAATGATTCTTTTCTCTATGAAGGAATACTGCAGGTTTTAGATTAAGAATTTCCAACTGTACTTATGCTAATGAATGCCCCAATTGCTACGCCAGAATCTGAAGAAAAAACAAAGAAACTTGATTCATCAATGTTCCCAACCCACCACATACACAGCAATCAACATCATCGGTTTGATTTACTTGTTTTTATTGGATTGTCTGCTTTTTTGGAATGACTTAAACAAGGGCAGAAAAATCTCTCGTTGCTATGAAATTTACTCGTTTTCACGCCTTTAAAAGTTGACCATAAAATTCTAGAAGTTCAATTTCCGGGAGAATATGGGCTTGCTTGGATCAGTGTTTTATAAATACTTCTAAACATTTTTACATAATTCAAGATAAAACTTTATAACATACTTATTTCATATTCTATAAATCCTGATTGAAAAGCTGTTTTTTAAAGGAGCCCTGCATCTTTGTCTTTTTTCTTTGAATTTTCACACACACCACTTGAAAAAAAATAATGAATACATCCAGGGGGAAGAATATCATCCAATTATCATCACGGTTTCTCTATTTGTTAAAAAAAAAAAGGGAGAATGACAAAAAAAGAAGGTTGAAATTACAAATCCTAAATTAGGTTTGGTAACACAATTTTATTTGGTTGACAAGTCTGAATTTGTAAATGACAACAAATTTTTGTTGACATTTCTTATTTGATATTTACAAAATTCTAGCTTATTTTTTTTTGTCATTGTCTCTAAAAAAATGCTATACGAATTAAAAAATAAAAAAAAGCAGTCAATATAGGGGAAAAAAAAGGAAAAAAGGGGCATCATTCCCATTCAGTGATAGGAGGAGGCTTGGACATAATGTTTTGCACAACCCGATTTACAACTGGTACACTGTTACAAACCTTCCCTGCAACATCATCCAGGAACTTGTGCTCAAAGTAGTACCTGACAAAACAAACACCATTTAGTTTCCTATCATAAATAAATAAATAAATGGGGAAAACCCAATACTTAATTTGTTTCATTTAGTGACGTATTAATTAAATTAAAGATTGACTTGTACCAGCTTCTTTTATGGGAGAATTTCAGTAAAAGACCACATTATCATGTTTAAAAAAAATCAAGAAATTCTGAAATCTCATTTCAGACTTTGAGATTTGAAATGAAAACAAGCTGAAAAACAGAATGTCCAGAATAAACTTAAGGCAAGCCAAAAAAAAAAAAAAGACGGGTGTATCAGGGTCAAAAAAAAAATCTTTACAATAATGGGGTGTCCGCCATGTGCCCACTGTTGAGTATTATTGAGTGTGTGTATATATTTTACAAAATAAATGTAAGTATGAATGCACAGATAAAATAAGAAGATTAACAGCGAAAGTTAGAAAATTTATTAAAAAATATACGAGAATTCATAGTATCATTTAAGGTTTTGTATAGAGAAAAATCTAAGTGCCAAGATCTACATGAAAAATTGGAATAAGAAAATTTATAAAAAAAAAAGATGATTTATAAAAAATTACAAAATTAACAACAACGTATAAGAAAATTAACAATAAAAATTAAGCTATTTACAAAAAAAAATTAACAACAAAAATTAGGCTTTATGTATCTTGTAAATCACCCAATTGTATTACAAATCCTCTTAAGTTAAGTAATTTATAAGAAATATAAGGGAGTTAACAACCACATGTAAGGGAATTAACAACAAAAATTAGGCTCTATGTATCTTGTAAATTGCTAATTTTTGTTACAAATCCTCTTATGTTCCTTGTAAACCTCTAATTTTTGTTGTTAATTCCCTTACTTGTATTGTTAATCAACTAATTTTTGTTGTTAATTTTCTTATGTTTCTTGTACTTACCTAATTTTTATTTTTAATGCCTTTATAAGTTGTCGTTAATTTTCTTTTTTGTTTGTAAATAACCTAATTTTTATTATAAGTTTTCTTATTTCAGTTGTTTATATAGACCCTTGGCATACATTTTTCTCTCTATAGAATCTAAATGGTATTGTGAATTTTCTTGTATTTCTTGTAAATTTTCTCATTTTTGTTGCTAACTTTTTATTTCACCTATTTATTCATACTTAGATATTTGTATTTATTTTGTCATATGTTTTTTCTTATCATATGATTAAATGGATCATATGGCAAAAATATAATCACATTTCACCAACAAAATTATGTCTATGAAAAATGAAAATTTGGTTATTAACAAGAATGCATGGGGGTGATGGATTTGTCCTAGTTAGTTATTTTAGTAGGCCGTGATTGATTAGGGTTAAACGGTATGAGTTGAAAAGGCATGTATAACGGCAGGTTGGCTGAAACTTGCCATGATGGGCTGACAGGTTGGCGGGCCAATCTACCAACTATTTTTAATTTTTTTTCTCATATGATATAAAGAAAATATAATAAAATATTTATTTTTCCTTGAAATACTTGATTGAAAATATCAAATAAATGATATTAATATTTTTTAATTTATTAGATAGGATATAAAATATAATAATATGATTATAATAATTAATCTTTTTAAAAAAATATAGGTTATGGGTTAAATGGTACAGATTAAACAATTTCATTTATTGGTAGGTTGATTTTAGTCAACCCTGATCTGTTATTTTTGGTGAGTTGGCGGGTTACACCTATGAGTCCAATCTATATTACTAGCTCTAACTTTGACTAGGCATGCTAATTCTTTTTTCCCACTATGGTTTTAAAATACAGTATTAAAGATGCAAATGAGTCTTTTGCTCCCAAAAAAAAAAAGAAAGATACGTATGAGTCATCTCTTTTGCTTTTGCTTTTTCTTTTTTTTGGGTTTTCTCCATGTTTGGCATGCCCATCATGAGTGCATTAATGGAAAATAAACAACGAATAACATTGTCCCAGCAATATTTCACTAGTTTATTATGATATTGATAACTTCTAAATCTGATAGAGTTGAAATATATTTGGGGAGTCAAGGACACAAAGCTAAAAGGATTTACCTGAGATTTTGATAAAAATTTGATTTTGTGAATCATTTATTAGGGATTTTATTGTGAATATCATAGTTTTAAATTAAAATGGAAAAATATTACTTCCTTTATTTTATTTTATTTTGTTTTTTCCCCCTTCCTCCGCTGAATCAGACGATGCGTTTTGAGGGGAGGGGAGTTTTTTTTTTTGGGGGGGGGGGACTTCACCATTCGAATCTTGTGACAGCGTCTACAAGAAAAAGAGAGAAGCTTTTTGTCATATCTATAAGTTATTTTACTAAACTTTTCATATGACTTAGATGTTGTATCTTTTATTTATTATTGATATATTATTATTTTCTTAGAAAGTGTATAATACTACCCCTAGTTCTTATTATAAAACTCAGTTAGCTAATTTCAAAAAATAAAAAAGTTAAACAATTACTTATTTATAGTATATGTTATATGATCTTTTTAAAATATTATTAGATTATATATTAACTTATAAGCCAGAAAAATTATTTTGGAGAAAAACAATAATCATAATATTTTAAAATAATTTAATTCACTTTTTTAATCTTCTTAAATATAATTAGTCAATCAAGTCTTTATATTAAGGACCAAAGGTAGTATTAGAAAAAGATAAAATTAACAAAAGTTGTTAAGTTTTAAGACAAAGTTAAAAATTTAAGTTTTTTTTCTTGATTTTGATAAACATGTTGAAAGTAACTTATAAATAGAAATAATAGAGTATATAATCATCTTGCATATTAAT